TTGGGTCTTCGTTTCTGTGCGAGGGCTTTCTCTAGTTGTGGTGAGCGGGGGCCACTCTTCATCGCAGTGCACGGGCCTCTCACTGTCGCAGCCTCTCTTGTTGCGGGGCACAGGCTCCAGATGCGCAGGCTCAGTAGTTGTGGCTCACGGGCCTAGTTGCTCCGCGGCATGTGGGATCTTCCCAGACCAGGGCTCGAACCCGTGTCCCCTGCATTGGCAGGCAGATTCTCAACCACTGTGCCACCAGGGAAGCCCGAGGTATTTATCTTGATTGGGGTTTTCTGGGCTTGGATCTGTCATTTGATGTCTTCGTTATTTTTGGAAAACAATTCAGTTGTTACCTTTTCAAATATTTTTTTCAGATCCATTATCTTTCTCCTCTTGTGGGATTTCAGTAATATACAAATTAGACTGTTTAATATCGACCCACAGTTCTTGTATGCTCTGTTCTGTTTTGGGGTGTTCTTTTTTGTTATTTTCTAGTTTTATTGAGATATTATTGGCATATAACATTGTACAAGTTTAAGGTGTACAATGATTGTTTTTTTTTTTTTTTTTTTGGCGGTACACGGGCCTCTTACTGTTGTGGCCTCTCCCGCTGTGGAGCACAGGCTCTGGACGCGCAGGCTTAGTGGCCATGGCTCACGGGCCTAGCCACTCCGCGGCATGTGGGATCTTCCTGGACCGGCGCACGAACCCGTGTCCCCTGCATCGGCAGGCGGACTCTCAACCACTGTGCCACCAGGGAAGCCCCAATACAATGATTTGATGTGTGTAATTTTAAATTTTCTAACTCTTCTTGTTTTGTTTTTGTTTAGATAATTTTCACTGACCTATCACCGATTTCTTTATTTGGCTCTGTTGAGTCTGCTGGTAAGGCTGTCAAAGGCATTCTTCATCTGTTACTGTATTCACTTACTTCTAGCATTGCCATTTGACTCTTACAGTTTCCATCTCTTGGCAGAAATTCATCATCATTCATGCATGTATCTTTTCTACTAGAGCCTTTTTTAACATTTTAATTGTATTCATGGTAAATTTTTCTTCTGAAATTCTAACATCTGGGTCACCTCAGAGTCTGGTTTAATTGCTTTGTCTTGTAACAGAAGGTTGTTTCCCTGTGTGTGTGTGTGTGTGTGTGTGTGTGTGTGTGTGTGTGTATGGGGAAGGGGTAATTTTTTTATTGATCACTGGCCATTGTGTATAACAGTAGAGACTGCCTGGAAATGGCACATCTTTTCTGCTAAGTTGTTACTATGGGGGTTAAGTTAATATAGTAAGGAGTTGAACTGTATTTGGGTTTTGTACTTGATATGGGAACCTTCAATGCATCATCAGCTTCAAATTCCTCCCCTATTACCTTGTGCTTAGGGTGGGCACTAGGTTTTCCCAGTGTTTTTCTTAATGTTCCTCCTCCATGCTTAGTTTTCTGTATTCCCTTTGCCCCTGCTTAAGATAGTTGGTTTCTCTCCAAGCTCTAGCCCCTCCCTTAGCACTAGACTGCTATTGCTTGTTGTTGCATACTTGCTAGCCTTGTGGTGGGTACCTGGGAGGTGGAGATTCTTTGTTGTTTTGGTCCAGCCTCTGCCTTAGGTAGGTCATATGTCCCTGAGTCTTCCTGGGTGAGACTTTCTCAGTGATCCTGTCTCTCCCCCAGCTGAAGGGAGACTCTAATAGTCTGGCCTCAGGATGATTTCCCACCCCTCCTCCAGGAGTAGTGAGGTTTGTCTTTTCCCTTTCCCCAGCCACAGTGGGTTTTCACCTGTGCTCTGGAGACAACAGAGTTTGCTGATCTTCCCCCAGCAGCTTTAAGTCTCTTTTTCTGTAGGGGAGAAGGGTCTGAGCCGGTCTCTGTGCTTTTCTCAGAAGAGGCAGCTACTCCCCTTACACCTGGACCAATGGAAGTCTGTGGAGAAGAGCCTGCAAGTGGGTGTGAATGCCTCCTGTGTCTAATGTTTCCAGGGACACTGTACTCTCACACTAGTCAACACTTGGTCTTTAGCAATTCATTTTTAAATTTTAGCTGAATTCTTAATCATCTGTGTGATGCCCCGTGTTGTTGTCTTCTCGTGCTTTGCTACAGATGAGCCAGTGCTCATGTCCCATCTCTTCTTGGAAGTAAGTGCCTGTCTTTCCTTAGATTTCATTCATGCTGCTTGGTTGCCCTACAACCTCAGCTCTCTGATGGGTTCAAGGAAAGTTATGATTTTGTAGTTAGTCTAGCTTTTTCTCATTGTTCTAGTGGATGGGATGCTCATTCCAGCTTTCTACATCCTAATTGGAAGTCAAATTACAGTGTTGTAAAGTCACTTGAAATAGTTGCTCTCTGTGTGGTTGTGTATTTAATTCAGTAGGTTCATTTGTTTCATTTTTCTTTCAGTTTTTGGGACTGCTTTTAAATTTTAATTTTGTCTCATAATTCTGTGAAGTTATTTATATGATTTCAAGTTATATATACAGAACAATGTGTGTTCCAAGAAGACTAACTTCTCTACTTGTTTCCTCCACCTTATTCCCTCCTTTCCTAATTAGGAAGCCTCTTTTAAAAAAAATCTATGACATTTCTTACATTACATGTGACAGGTCACATTACATGACTTATTTCTTATATTTAAAAGATATTCAGATATGTATATATATATATTTGTACCCCCTCTTTTCTCAGATAAATGGTAGCACGTATACAGACTTTCCTCCACATTATTTTTTAATTTAACACTCCATAATAGTTCTTTAGAGATATACCCATTCCTTCTTACAGCTGCATAGCACTCCATTATGTGGACATACCATGCTTTATTCAACTGGTTCTCTGTTGATGGGCATTTGGGCTATTCTCAGGTTTTTCGCTTTTACAGGTAGTGTTGTAATGAAGAGCCTTGTGTGTGTGTTTGTGTGTGTGTGTATATATATATATATATATATATATATGATTTTTTGTATTTTTACCACTTTAGACTCCTAAAAGTGGTGAGCAATCCATATGTAAACTTACTGGATATTGCCAGATTAATCTTCAATAGGGCCTAGTACCATTTTACCTCCCCAGCAGCAGTGTGTGAGTGCTTTTACCCCTCAGCTTCACTTGTAGAATGTGTGGTCAAACTTGGATTTTTGCCGGTCTAACAGGTGAAGAATTTTCAAGTAGCTTTAATTTGCATTTCCTTATTAAGAGTGTGATTGAGAAGCTGCTTTTCATAAGTTCTTTGAACAACCTTATTCTTCCTAAAATTTTAGTATACTGTCTTGTATTTCATTTACCTGTAACTATTGCCCACTAAACATTGGGCCAAAAACCATATGAGAAGGGATTGCTTCTGTTTTCTTAGGAACTTGAAGATTCTAGAGTTTCAGTCACAGTAATCAAATTTGGCATATGAACGTAAGAGTTTAAAAGTTTGCAATCTTGCAGTTCACTTTGGAAATGTTATTTGATCTGTGGTTGCCAGTAATCTGGTAAAAAGAGTATAAATAATGATGTGTTTTGCTATTTCCATGTTCTTCCCAGTTTCCCTTTAGATTTCACATAATGCTCCAGTTTTAGCCAGCATAATGCTCTGTTTTAGCCAGCAGAGGCCACTGGAGCCCACTAAGGAGCAGAAGTGCAACAGAATTGTGGCTGTGCTAAGATGTGATCACTGAAATGTCACTAAAAGTTCTGCAATCTTACTAGCTTCTATCCTGTTAAGATTTCATGCTTGACAGCTCATGCAGCTCAATATCAAAAAAAACAAATAACCCAATCCAAAAATGGGCAGAAGACCTAAACAGACATTTCTCCAAAGAAGATATATAGATTGCCAACAAACACATGAAAGGATGTTCAACATCACTAATCATTAGAGAAATGCAAATGAAAACCACAATGAGGTATCATCTCATACTGGTCAGAATTGCCATCATCAACAAATCTAGAAACAATAAATGCTGGAGAGGGTGTGCAGAAAAGGGAACCCTCCTGCACTGTTGGTGGGAATGAAAATTGATACAGCCACTGTGGAAAACAGTATAGAGGTTCCTTAAAAAACTACAAATAGAACTACCATATGACCCAGCAATCCCACTACTGGGCATATACCCTGAGAAAACTATAATTCAAAAAGAGACATGCACCCCAATGTTCATTGCAGCACTATTTACAATAGCCAGGACATGGAAGGAACCTAAATGTCCTTCGACAGATGAATGGATAAAGAAGATGTGGCACATATATACAATGGAATGTTACTCAGCCATAAAAAGGAGTGAAATTGAGTTATTTGTAATGAGGTGGATGGACCTAGAGCCTGTCATACAGAGTGAAGTAAGAAAGAGAAAAGCAAATACCGTATGCTAACACATATATGGAATCTAAAAAAACGGTACTGATGAACCTAGTGGCAGGGTGGGAATAAAGACGCAGACAGAGAACGGACTTGAGGACACGGGTGTGGGGGATGGGGAAGCTGGGACAAAGTGAAAGAGTAGCATCGATGTATATACACTACCAAATGTAAAATAGATAGCTAGTGGGAAGCTGCTGTATAGCACAGGGAGATCAGCTTGATGCTTTGTGATGACCTAGAGGGGTGGGATAGGAGGGTGGGAGAGAGGCTTAAGAGGGAGGGGATATGAGGATATATGTATACATATAGCTGATTCACTTCGTTGTACAGCAGAAACTAACACAACATTGTAAAGCAATTATACTCTGATAAAGATATAAAAAAAAGATTTCATGCTTGAAATAAACCAGATATTTGAGGGCAAGAAAGTCTATGCCATTTACTTTATAATTTTTTCCATTGTTTGCCATCTCCTTCTTTAAGTTAAAAGAAATAAGCGTTTGAGAATTTTAGCTAACTGCATTTTTCGATGTCTGGTGAGCTAACACCTTATTTTAAAAACTGTATAAAACCCTACAAAAAGACATGGTCCTGCTCTCTGGGAAATGATGATGTCTTTGGGGGAATCCTACAGTTTATTACAGGCTTTAAATTTTTGTCCCTAATTCTTCTCAGTTTGCAGGCCTTTCAGATATATCTATCTCACAAGACATCCCTGTGGAAGGAGAAATCACCATTCCCATGAGATCTCGCATTCGGGAATTTGACAGCTCCACACTGAATGAATCTGTTCAGAATACCATTGTAAGTTAGACAAGTTGAGAGAACTTCTGTTCAGTGTCATGGGGCTAAATAGCTAATAGCAGTTTGTAATATTTTTGATTGGTTCACTGGTTTTCAGTGTATTTTATTTATTGAAATTTAAGGTTCTCCCCTAGAGAATAATTTGGTACAGCCTTTTTGGAAAGCAGTTTGGCTGTAATGGATATTAAGGAACTTAAAATGTCCAATCTTTTTGAGGTGATAATTCCCACTTCTCTAGGTATAGTATAAGGAAAAAAAATTTTTAATACAAAAGTATTTTAAAAAATATAGAAAAATGTTTATACAAAGATGTTTGTTACAGCAATATTTATAATGGGAGAAAGTTGCAAAGAAGAGTAATCGGTTAAGTAAATTATGTTACATCTATGTGGTAGAATGGTAAACAACCATTAAAAGTCATGTTTACAAAGAACTATTAATGACATGAAGAAATTTCTAAATTAGGACAGAATTACCTCAACTATAATTTGAGAGGTTATGTTTATATGACTGCACCCTTCTTTAAATGTCTTGATTTTTTAAAATCTGGCTTCTAGGATTCATTTGCCAGAATGTATGGGAATGTTGAAAATTAATTGACTTTACACATTGTGAAGAATGTGTTAGCTTGGGAGCAGGCTGATTGCCCCTTGTGACCTCATCATGTATGAACTGAAAGTTAGGTGCTGTGTTTTGCAGAGCAGATTTTACTAGTGCTATTATTTTCGTTTCTTTAAGTAACATATTAGGAGGGCTATGTTTCTCTTCTGTGGAGTTTAAAAACTCAAAACAGAACTGATGAATGTGGTAAAGAGTTAGATGTTGGCTTAAGGAGTTAATAGGAAAAGTTAATAGAAAAAGGAGTTAATAGAAAAACCCCACCTCTCTGGTTTGTTTGTATAGTGAAGGAATTAAACTGGAGTTATAGCTCTAAAATTCAATGAAGGGCTCCCAGGAGATTGAAATAAAAGAAATTTTAGCAAATTAAGTGAGGGGGCTGCTTGGCAACCTTGGTCATCACAGTACAAGTTGTTTATATCTTTCAGATGCGTGATCTAAAAGCTGTTGGGAAAAAATTCATGCATGTTTTGTACCCAAGGAAAAGCAATACTCTTTTGAGAGATTGTAAGTATATAAGGATTTTGAGGCTTTGCTGTTTCTCATCATACATTATCATAAGTATTTTATAAGGCAAAGGCTCTGTGGTAATAAAACTGATGTCATTTTGCAGGATGAAAAAATACATAAATGAAGTTTTTGAAAAAAGTTAAAAATTTAGGATGGAATTTCAGAGATTGGAAGATTTTGCTGAATATATTGTCCTCATCAATAAATATAGACTGTATATTTTCACCTGCTATAATAGACACTGCAAAGAATATTTCTGGAAGTGGCAAAGACATAGGGACTTTGTTCAACCAAAGAGCTAATGATTTCCAAGGGAAAGGCAAAATGTGTAAATGTTAAATTAGAATAATAGCTAATACCCATTAAAGGTTTAACAAATTAATAGTGCTTTATTGACATTTCTATTTTCAGAATGATCATTTAGTCTGTTGACTGCTTTCTTTAGGAGTTCCAAAACAGTGTTTGCAGAAAATTTTGCTGTTATTTAGAATTTATTCTTAAAATTGTTAGACCTTTTCTTTTCAAGCATTCTTGGTTTTTCTTAGTACCCTTTGTCAGAAAAAAATTGAATCTATTGTTTGAGAGTAGTAACAATGATGTTGTACATGAGTGTACCTTCTATTTTGGCAGCATTTCAGCTGTAATATAAGGATGTCAAATATGTGGCAAATGTGCCATCACTGTGTGGCAATTGGATGCAGCGTCAGAATCTTTTTCAACATAGTACATTGTGGGTTGAAGCTGACACATGATTTGCTACAGCTCGTATGTAGTGGAAAGAGCATGGGCAAATCAGTGTTTGAATAGTGTGTGATCTTGGATAAGACAGTTAACTTTTCTGAGGTTGAAGTTTCTTCCTCAGAAAAGCTGTCTTATCCAATTAGATACCAATTCAGATCCATTAGGATGGTTATTGTCAAAGAAACAGAAAATAACAAGTGTTGGTGAGGATGTGGAGAAATTGGAACCCTTGTGCATTGCTGGTGGGAATGTAAAATGGTACAGCCACTGTGTAAAACAACATGGTGGTTCCTCAAAAAATTACCACATAATTTTATAGTATATAAAATTTATAGTATAGAACTACCACATGATTCATTCAGCACGTCTCCTTCTGGGTATATACCCAAAAGAATTGAAAGCACGGACTCAAACAGTTATTTGCACCTGTGTTCATAGCAGCAGGTGAAAACAACTCTTACGTCTATCAGTGGATGGATGGGTAAACAAAGTGTGTTATATACACCATGGTGTATGCCATATATGAATGGGTTATTATCCTTAAAAAGGAGTGAAATTCCTGATACATGCTACAACTTGGATGAACCTTGAAGACATTATGCTAAGTAAAATAAGCCATACACAAAAGGACATACATGATTCCACTTATGTTAGGTACCTAGAGTAGTCAGATTTATAGAGAAAAAAAGTTAAATGATGGTTGTCAGGGACTGAGGGGGTATTGAGGAGTTATTGTTTAATGGGTTGGAGTTTCAGTTTGGGAGATGAAAAAGTTCTGGAGATGGATGGTGTGTTGCTTGCACAACAGTGAATATACTCCGTGCCTGTACAGTTAAAAGTGACTAAAATGGTAAATTTTGTGTTTTATGTATTTCACAAGAATAAGAATAGTTTTAAAATACTGTTATGAATCTTTTACAAATTAAAAACAGTCTTCACTGCATTAAAAAAACAGTGTATTAATGTCAGTTGTACTTGAATTCAGCTTTTCAGTTGATAAATTTTAACAATTTATTGCTTATTTAATTAACAATAGTTTATTAGAGTCTTAGGATTATGGTTTTTCTTTTTTTACATCTTTAACAAACTTTCCACAGTGGTGTCAAAATTACTTATTTAAAAAAAAGACGTAAGTATGTACATATGCACACTTCTTTCACATAAAGTTATGTACAAGTGAGGTTAAAGTTAGAAGTGGTATATGTACCTTTTTTCATATTACTTGAGGAAGATAATTGTGCTTTAAGCTGTATGTTACTGAACTGTTGGTTTATTAATCACCCAACAGCTATTGATTGAGAACCACAGTGATTAGACCTAATGTTGACAGAGCCTTTATAGTTTTCAAAAAGTTTTCATGTTGTTTGTTAACATTTAACCCTATGAAATTACCAGTGTTGGGCTGTTTTTCGCCTATAAGAACAGCAATTCTATGCTAGTTCAATGTAGTAATTATGAAAGGGAAACAGTATTGCAGAGTGGAAAGGACTTTGTAGTAGGAATCAGAAGATTCTGGTTTTGGTTCTAGGTTCTGGTCCCACCCCCACACTTAACTGTTTACGGAAACTTGGGCATGTCACTTCTTCCCAGCTTTGTTTTTCATATTTGTGAGGTGAACCTGATTATACTTGCCTTGTCTAATGTAGTCTCAGATAGGTAAAGTGACTTGGCTTTAGTCTTCTTTTTGGTGTTGCAGGGTAGGGCACTTATGTCTTTTGACTCCTTGCTCGTTGGTCTTTAACTGTAGCATGCTGGAATGTGGCTTAGTAGGTGGGGAGAGGGGTGATTTGTGGGATGTGAAGTGAACAAAACTTAAAGGATATATGAAGAAGGGCATTCAGAATTAGGGAGCAGGGAGGGTCAGCAGAGGGATAGCAGAGGTCGGAAGGCTTGGGCAGACAGGGAGAGCCTTGATGTCTGAATTCCAAGAGTGGGAGATGTACATATTGGAATAAAGACAGAAAACACTACATGGTTGTGTCTTAACAGTCTTGTGTCTTTTCTTGTAGGGGATTTATGGGGCCCTTTGATCCTTTGTGTGACGCTTGCATTGTAAGTACTTATATTTCCTTTCTTTGTCATTTGAGATAGATTAGATTTTTTTCATGGAGTTTCAAAATTGAAGGGGATTTTGACTGAATATTTCATTTAGGACTTCTATGACATATTGTACTCCTTATGTATTTAAATCTAAAAAGTCAAGTAGTTTTCTAGATCAATTCAAAGAGTGATGGAATTTAAAGATGTGAAAATTATGCCCACCTTCATTTACCAATGACTTCTTATCCTGTTTTAGCCATTTCTGTTCAACATTTATTCACACTCGTGTACCTCATTAAGCTAAGTGAATTAAGTATCTGTAGGTTTAAGCACTGTTTATTTGCAAACATAATTCTTTAAAAATTTACTAAAAGTATAAGAGAATAAATTAGAGTAGAAGTGGTAGAGTTCAAAGCAAGATCATGTTTCAAAGTGTTATGTTTTCCGTATGCATTGTATGTAAAGGGAAAGGACAGAAGAAGGAAAGCAAAGTTCCACTGGAGAGGGGAATATAACCACTGGTAGAGTGGAAAAAATACTGCACTAGGATTCAGTTCCGAGTTCTCATCCTAACTTTGCTATCAGCAGAGTGACTTTCGGCCACTAATAACCAAAATTTGTATAATGATTTTTCTTAGCTTACAGAAAACTTTTAAATACCTTCTCTTATCCTCATGACAAGAAGTGAATATTTTTCCTCTTTTGACGAACAAGCTCAGGTTCAAAGAGATTGAGGACTGAACCAAGGTCAAATATTCAGTGGTAGACCTGGAATTCAACCTCAGGTTTCCTTGACTGCCCATTCTCTACCTCTGCAATTATTACACATCTCTTCCCACGTAACCTCTCTGGGTCTCCTTTTCCATATCTATAAAAGGAGATGGTTGAGGGTCCTTTCCAGGCCGAACCTTTTATGATTTTAAATTCAAGTTTCTTACTGGCTTCTTTACCCATTTTTAAATGTAAGTCAAGCACATGGTAATCTAGGTAAAAACGTGGAGTGCTCTATCTTATGCCTTTAATAACCATATCAAGGGAAACAATCCAGTGCCTTGATGAAAGGGTTTATATTAGAAGCTCTGAGCATATACTTTCTTAGTTTTGAAAGATTAACCTTAGAGATTATGGAGTTTAATACCACTTATTTGCAGAGAAGAAAATTGGAGTCCCAGAACATCAAGTGATCTGCTCCAGTTTCCATATCTAGTGACAGAATTAGGATCAATATCTGAGTCTCCTGCCTTCCAGGCCAGTTAATGTTCTTTCTATCATACCATGCTGAAGCAATAGGAGTTCCAGACAACAAGTGATGAGGGCCAGCATTCTTTGCACTGGATTGTCAGGACTTGGAATAGAGTATGCAGAACCATAGAATACAAAAGCCTGTACTGGCACATAGCATAGCAGGACAAGACTTACTGTGTGACTTCTCTATACTTTGTAATAAGAGGTTGTGAGTTTGATGTTACTTATTCTGTTACTGGAAAAAAATGACACAGAGTACAAGTGTTCTGAGTCCAAAATTCAAAGCAGTTTACATCTGTAAAATTTTTAGAGAGGATATAAGTGACTGTTCAATTACTCAGTTTCAAAGTAAAGCCTTTTCGTGATAATCTGTATGTTTTGATTTTAAAAAATCAACAACTAAATAGGTTTATAGACTGCTTCCATTTTTAAATGCCAGAACTAGAACCTTAACCCAAGGATTACAAATTCAAATGTGTACATGCATGCATTGCGAATTGGTTACCAGAAGCCCTTGTGAAGGAATCTGCTGCTGTGTCAACTGTACCCAATTGTTGCCATGTAGGAATGCAGGTCCAGTGTTGGAAACTCTTATGATTTTTCAAGAAAATCCAGAAATACCTCCCAATTTTAAAATAACATCAACTTGAATTTAAGACCATTTTAAGTATTGTATAGACCAACAACCTCATGTCTGTGAGCCATATTTAGCCCTTCAGTTTATACCCTCTGCTTAACTAAAAAAGGTCTTCGGTAATCCATTTAAGCATTCCCATGAGGTCAAATGGAGCACCTCTTGTAGTCCTGAGGCATTTGGAATTTGAAATAAGGGATATACTTCAGGCATTTTACTTTTGTACAGCCTACATTTTATAGATCTTCAGGTGAGGTTTAGGGCAGCTCCCTGATTCAAAGTTTGAGAACCCATGCTGTAACTTTGTTGCTCTAAATAAAAGACTAGGCAATTCTCATGCCATTTCCTTGTCACAGAATGCTTCAGAGAGGCTCTGTAGATAGCGAAAAAGATGGAGGGCCCCAGTTTGCAGAAGTGTTTGTCATTGTCTGGTTTGGTGCAGTTACCATCACCCTCAACTCAAAACTTCTTGGAGGAAACATGTGAGTATTATTAAAATGCATCCCTTTTCCCTTGCCAGGTTGCATATCTTAGATTTTTAAGGAAGTCTGGCTAGTTATATATTTTTCAAAAAGAAAAATCAAAATAAATGAGAGCCAAAAAGAAGGTTCTCTTAAAACCACTGAACAGAGATAACCTAGTTGAATTAAATTACCTTAAATTATCTGGGGTCCTTTGATAAGCTTCAGTGCTCTCGCTCCAGCCCCTGAAATCATAGGCAGAATTTTTTGTGTTAGAAGATTATGTCTGTCTTTGGGAACAGATGGTCCATAGTTTTCAACAAATTCTGAAATAGGTCTGTAAACCACAAAAGATTAAGAAACACCATTCTTAGAGGTTCAGTGGGAGAAGGAGGTCTCTAGGAATTAGAGCAGATCATCTAGATACTAGATGGCTGACTCTTAAGGAGTTTAAGCAGAGAGGAGGAGAGTATGGGGAGAGCAAAACTAAAGCACATGTTTAATACAGAGGCCTATCCTTATAAAATCAACATTAGGGTATAGGTATTATGTATCTGAAGGAAGGTAATGATCCATGATACATAGAAATCTGTGTAATAAACTGTATCATGATACAGATCAGCTATATTTATGATCTTTATGGATGTATGTTGTTTTTTAGATCTTTTTTTCAGAGCCTCTGTGTGCTGGGTTACTGTATACTTCCCCTGACGGTGGCAATGCTGGTTTGCCGGCTGGTACTTTTGACCGAGGCAGGACCAATAAACTTCATGGTCCGGCTTTTTGTGGTGATCGTGATGTTTGCCTGGTCTATAGTAGGTAAGAACGTACTTATCTCTACAGTAACAGAGCAGACCGAAACATGAGTTAGAGATGAAGATCAGATGAGGAGGAGTGTAACTGATAAGTTACATATGAGTGATATGATTCTTGCCAGTGTCGTCCATAGAACCGTCTTCTCTCAGTAGGGATAATGTTCATCTTATCTGAGTTGGCTATCTGGACTTCCGAGATGTGGAGAGTCACGTCTTTTTTTCTTTTCAATCCTTAAATAGTGGATAGGGTTGAAAAAGGAGATTACACTAGACCTAGCTTAGTCCTGGCATATAGGAGGCATAGGTGACTTGAGAAATGGCTTGAGCCTTTTCCTGACAAATTAATCATAATAATAGCCAGCATTTACCAATTGCTTACTGTAGGCCAGGCACTGTCATAAGTACTTCATACATATTATCTCATTTAACCCTCACAACAACCCTAATAAATAAAAAAAGTTATTATTGGTCCCATCTTTATAGATGAGGAACAGACCCAGAGAGGTTAAGCAACTTGCCCTAGGACACATAACTAGTGAATAGGGGAATCAAGTTTCAAACCCAACCAGATCACATACCTGTTTAGAAATGTACTATACTACCTCCCAGTATAGGTTGGTAAGTATCATAGTACTTGTCTGCTTCAGTAGAAAATTCTGCTAAAGATTAGTGAGAGCCTGTAGCAGTGGCAATGAATGCTATTTGCTCATTGTTTGTACTTTCCTAAAATTCTCTTAAAATTCCACCTTAAACTGGAAGTGTTCACTAGCTTCTTTTTAATGGGATAGACAGACTGCCTAATATTTTTATGTGCAATAACATCTCTTTGGAACATGGTTAAAAGCCAAGAAGTAATCCAAAAGTAAGGTCTGAGAATGCCAGAATTGATATTCCAAGGATTGTATTAAGCTTGGGTGCTTTAACTACCCATGGAAGAGCCCCTCATTCCCTCACTTAGAGTCTGATAATTTACCGTATATGTAGTTCTGAATAACTTAGTTATCAAGTGTCCAGGCCCACAGTGGTTCAGCAAGTAGAATCTTAGATGAGAGAGAAGTTCCTGTAATTCAGCAAATATGTATTAAACACAGACTGTGTGTCAGGCATTGTGCTAGGCATGGTCTCTATCCTCCGAGTTCACAATCTAGGCATAAAAGTTTTCCAGGTGGGCAATGGAAGTCTATGCAGTGTATAGTGGAGACACAGAAGAGGTAAGTGGGCAGTTCTACCTGGGGTGGCAGGATACCAGATGGTTGTTCAGGAAAGGTTTCCTTGAAGGGTGATTATCGATGAGTAAAAAGATGAGTATATGTTTCCTGGATGGACAAGAGGATTGGCATCTAAAAGAGCTGATAACTTATTAAGAACAAGTACTCAAAAAACACAGCAGTGTGAAGCCATTTGCCATAGGAGTTTTGTAAGCCTATTTAGCACAGTTCAGTAACTTCTCAGAAAAGGGTAAGAAACCCCTTTTAGAAAGGTTTCCATCTTAAATGGTTGAAACCTTTCCAAGCTTTCATACTTGAAACAGGTAGCCCTCAGCTGTCCAGAAAACTATGCTGCCAAATGCCTTTTTCTCTGAGGATCACAAATGTAACTGAACTTATAGTATATAATTCTGTGTCCCAGACTATGTCAGGCCCCTTCAAGTTTAGTAAATGTTAGTAGTTGTGACAGTCTTATTGTATTAAATATTCCTTTTTGTTGTCTTGTTTTGCTTTGTTTAGCCTCTACAGCTTTCCTTGCTGATAGCCAGCCTCCAAACCGCAAAGCCCTTGCTGTTTATCCTGTTTTCTTGTTTTACTTTGTCATCAGTTGGATGATTCTCACCTTCACTCCTCAGTAAATCAGGAAATGGAAATTAAAAACCAGGGAATTCAAAGCTCATTTCAAAGATGCAATTCACCGTGGAGTTTTGCCTTTGGCCCTCTTTTGTCTAATTTTGGAGGTATTTGGTAACTGGGTATACGAGGAGATTAAAAGGGAACCATAAAGCACCGTCACCGTTTATGTAAGGAACTGATGTTTGAAAGGCCGTCCTTTCCTTCTTAATGTTATTTCTTTAAAATATGTGTGCATAGTACACACAGTATAATGCCTCCTTAAGGCATGATGGGGTCACTGTGGTCCATTTGGGTGACAACCAATGACTTGGGAAGCACATGGATACATCCTGCAAGTTGAATAGAGTTGGTAACTATATTTTCAGTTTTGAGAATACCAGTTCAGGTGCAGCTCTTAAACATATTGCCTTATGACTATTAGAATATGCCTCTCTTTTCATAAATAATAAGGGATAGTCTATTTTACTTCTCTTAAGCTTAAAAAGACAATGAGAGAGGTTGGGAAAGGGGTACATAGATGTGGGAGGAGAAAACATCTAAGCAAAATTCAGATTTTGACTAGAGAAAATTCTGCACTTGCTTAAAAAAAAGCAAAGGACATCTAAAACATAGGCTTTTTTAGTCTTTCTGTATAGTCACCTTTCTGCCATGCTTAATAGCAGCTCAGTGACACTCTTAATTTTTTTAACATCTTTATTGGAGTATAATTGCTTTACAATGGTGTGTTAGTTTCTGCTTTATGACAAAGTGAATCAGTTATACATATACATATGTTCCCATATCTCTTCCCTCTTGCGTCTGTCTCCCTCCCTCCCACCCTCCCTATCCCACCCCTCTAGGTGGTCACAAACCACCGAGCTGATCTCCATGTGCTATGCGGCTGCTTCCCACTAGCTATCTATTTTACGTTTGGTAGTGTATATATGTCCATGCCACTCTCACTTTGTCACAGCTTACCCTTTCCCCTCCCCATATCCTCAGGTCCATTCTCTGTGGTCTGTGTCTTTATTCCCGTCTTACCCCTAGGTTCTTCATGACCTTTTTTTTTTTCTTGGATTCCATATATATGTGTTAGCATACAGTATTTGTTTTTCTCTTTCTGACTTACTTCACTCTGTATGACAGACTCTAGGTCCATCCACCTCACTACAAATAACTCAATTTCGTTTCTTTCTATGCCTGGACACTCTTAATTTTTAATCTTACTTCCCAGTTCTGCATATGCAAGCTAAGGTGTTAGCAGTCAACTTGTAATTTTCCTTTGACTGAAGCTCTCAGTGGACCAATGATTGAACTTACCCAAGTAGAAGACCTCAGAAATTTAGATTGGTAGGTCCCTAATGCATATTATCATGTGGGCAGCTTCTCTTAAGGGTAGAATGAGGCAGTTTGGATACAGCATAGCTGTAAGGAATTTCTTGCTATTCTGTGTAGTCTGACCTCTAACTAAAAAGTAAAGCTAAATCAAAGGCTGCATTTAACCATGTAAACATGGAGGGATTTAGTGTTCTAATGGCTGATTTCACAGAACAACTAGATGCTTAAGAGCATGAGGTAGGATGAGTTGAGTTTACAGCTGCCGCCTTTTCATAGTGGGCTTAGCAGTTTTTTCATTAGGTGTGTTTTTCGGGTTGGGGATAGCAGTTTGTTTTCTTGGTTTTAGACTTTATTTGTAAAGCCAATTAGCTCTCCTTTAGAGAAGTACTTTTTTGCACATGTGCACCTACTTGTATTCTCAGCTATTTATGCACACAAGTGTGAAGGCTTTTCAGGGAGCAGAGTGTCTGGGACAGGCTGATTCTGAGCTAATCAGGGTTCTTTTAAGGTAATATGAGCTGCTGCCTTCTATAAATTGCACAGTGAAAAACTCTTAATAGACAAAGATTAGGAGTCAGGCAGAAAACATTCATTGTAAATATAGTTACTTATAAAAATAGGAATTTCTTATTCCACATCTTTTCTTTATCATGGAGTTTAAATATTTATTCACTGGTATTTAAAGATGACCTATGCATAGATATATAATTTTTAAAATATACTTTCTCCATCCCCAGATTAACCAAATGAACAATACTAGGACAAATGAGTACTTGGAATGATATTCAATTACAGAGCATTACAAAATTGGTCCCCTCTGTCTCAGCATTGTCTAGATATTTTGGTTATGTATTTGTATTTGTTTCAATTTCCCTTTTAAATTTCAAAATAAACCCTGTTAGGACAAAGCCAATGTTTCAGTCTTGATAAATAAAATATTTTGAAACTGGTTCTGATTTTAAAATTGGTCCTAAATTATCATCCATTTCCATTGTCTGAAAGTTTCTAACTTCCCACTAAAAACATCTCTTCCAAAGTTGTTTTGTAATCTATCCCAATGATTATAATGTAAAATTAAAGAAATAATCATGCTTCTCAAAAGGGAATTAAATCTTCACTGAATTTTACTCAGGCTAAATATTTGGTCAGAAATTCCTAAGGCCACAACTTTGGTGGGGTTTGTGTGTGTGTGAGGGGGGTATTATACATATTGGGTGTTAAGGCAACTTGTTCTGTGTTTTAATCTGTTGCTTTTGGGTGACTTAGGGAATGGTTTTATTTGATTTAAATGAAGGCGGGTAAGATGGAGATTTAATTATCTTTCTGAAAATGAGTGGTCAATTTGAGGGTATAAATAAATATTTTCTTAATATATTCAAAAAAGTGCATTGCTTTCTGTCACAGAAGACCTGAGTATCTGGAAGTTGTAACCCTCAACACAGCTTTCCCTGATTTGCTGCAGAGGCACGTGGCTAATTATAGAAAGGAAGACTAGAAGGGAAGGGGACTCCAGCAAAGGAAACCCTGTTCCGGGAATTGGAAGGTTTCACGCTTTAGATGAAATTCAAGCATGTGATGTGCATTACTGCCATCGTGGCTTATCACTTGCTGCTCCTGCTTCTGAGATTGAGACTCCGTTGTCATATTCTTTAGCAATAGGAAAGGTGAAGACTGGATTTAATTGCTGTTCAGATTATAAATACTCAATTGATGTGAACATCTTTTTTGCAGTGTAGTCTTAAAAGTCAATCATTAATCGTCAAGTCTTTTGCCTCTTAAGTGGTTTATTACATGAGTTGAGTTGTATCTTTTCATTGTGGGGATTTTCTTTTGGGCAAGGTGAGGGGGTCACAGGGCATGGGGCTAGTAAGCATTTTACTGTTTACTGTATTTGTCTTTTTATAAAGTGTCCCCCAAAATGTGATTAGAAGGCTGACAAGCCTATATTTGAAGGTTTAATTGTGTACGTTATATAATCTAAGTACTTACTGTATTTGAACTTCCTGTTTATTCCTGGAGATGAAAATGAAAATCTCCCATCATTTCCAATTCTTGGATAACATCAAGTCATTGAAATTTATCTAAGGCCTATCATGATATGATCAGACATCCATTGCATGCAGTTGTTTTATTCCAGAGTAAAATACTGAAATTGTGCTTCTTAATTAAACTGTTCATTTCTGAGACAATTTGGATAGAAATAAATGTGTGAATGTTAATGCATATATGTAAATTAGAAATACTTTTTTAGATTCATGGGCTTTTATTAAAAATAAAGAATTTCTAGGGATTTACTTAGGTCATAAGATGGCTAAATAATAATGTGACAATAATATTACTACAAATAATAGCTAACATTTATTGGGCACTTACTGTGTGCCAGACACTACTCTATTTTTTTAAGAATTTTTTGTAACAGCTTTATTGGGATATACTTTACCATAAAATTCACCCTTTTAAAGTAATATACAATTCAGTGATTTTTCAGTATATTCACATAATTGTGCAACTATCACCACTGTCTCATTTTAGAACATTCCCATCACTTCACAAAGAAACCCCAAAGCCATTAGCAGTCATCCTCTTTTTCCCTTTTCCCCAGCCCCTGGCAACCATCAGTCTGCTTTCTGTCTCTGTGGATTTGGCCAGGCACTATTCTTAAGTGCTTTTTATGCATCTCCTCCAATCTTCAACATAAAGTGGTACAATCCTCATTTCACTGGTAGAAAATTGAGGCACAGAAAGGTTAAGTAAATTGTCCAAGGTTACACAGTGAATTGATATTTAAAATAGGAAAACACATTAGCTGAGATCATAGTAGGACACAGTTTTGAATTGCATTGTTATACGTATGAAATGAATACACCTCCTCCCCAGGGTACGTTCCCTGTTACTAGCCATTACAACGTACAGCTCACTGGAGGTCAATAACTCGTTTTTTTCTGAGTACTAGAATACTATATTAGCATCTGAGAAAGACACAGCGGTTATACATTGGGAAGAGTTAGGTTTGCTGCCCTCACTCCTCCTCGAGCCCCTTTTCTTTCCCCTCCTCCCACCACCAGACACATACACCCCTCCCCTTTTTCTCAAAGTCTTAAGAATCAAGCAGCTTCTGCCTCTTTCGTTTTAATTCTCCCAGTGGGATGGTTAACACATCAAAATTTAACGTGTCTATTCAGGTGTTTATAGTCATGGGATGCCACTGGTCACATGTAGTACCAGCTATATTCCTAAGACCTCAGAGAGCAGTAGTGTGAAAATAGAATGCCTTTCTATTTGGGTTAAACTAGGTGGGGTAAAGAAATAACACAGTAAATAAAGGCTTTGCCTTAATGAAGTCAGTGTTCCAGCCTGGTAGGAAGTGGCTACACGCTGCTCTTGTTCACTCTGTTCTCTTTTAGAGCCTTTGTATTCTGCACCATCTCTGCTGGTAATTTCTTGGTCCTCTTCGATGCTCTGTTTTAATCCTGATTTTTCCTATAAATAAAGAACCTGTGAAAAGAATAAATCTGTAAAATGATTTGTGAATATTAAATGTGCAAATAAAAAACACTGGAAAAGGAGAATTTGCACGTGCCTGTTCTTGTGCTGAAAGGCATGGGGATATTTCCTGCATACTGTTTTCAGATATATTGTCATCAGAAAATATTGAATGCTGTGTAGGATTGCACAGGTAGCAAGTTAGGAAGTCACATTTACTGAGCAAATATTTACCAGATGCTATAATAGCCGTTTGATGAACAGTACTGCTCCCAGTGAATTTAAGGTTCTTGCCTTGTCGCAAAAGAATTCGGAGACAAGCAGGGAGTTAAGAAAGTAAAGTGAGGATTTATTTAAGCAAGAATACGCTCTCAGAGGGAGAGCAGACAAATGGGTGAGGAGCTGCTGCCCTGGGTTTCTCTGGCAAGCCGGTTATGAGGGGCATACAAATAAAGGGGCAGAGTATTCACTGGGGAAGGAGGGGTTTGGGGGTCGTATTCCCTGATTTTCATCCCAGCTCTATCTTCCTGAGGGGAGGAGGGATTTCTGTTCTTATTTGGCTTAGATCAGAAGTATCATGGTGTCAGTGCATGATGGGTACTTCTCATCTGTAAGGCTAATTTTATTGTAATGAGAGCATAATGAGCAACAGGTCACATTCGGACATAGGAGATTCCTGTCTTTCCCCACCTTTCTTTGTCTGCTTCCAGGACACTTATCACCCAAAACGTGTGGTTTACTGTCAGTCTGGAGGTTCCTGCTTTCTTAACATCTATCTTGGGGTATAATTGCTCCACATTGGTGTGTTAGTTTCTGCTGTACAACAGAGTGAATCAGCTATACATATACATATATCCGCATATCTCCTCCCTCTTGCGTCTCCCTCCCACCCTCCCTATCCCACCCCTCTAGGTGGTCACAAACCACCGAGCTGATCTCCCTCTGCTATGCGGCTGCTTCCCACTAGCTAGCTATTTTACACTTGGTAGTATTTATAAGTCCATGCCACTCTCTCACTTCGTCCCAGCTTACCCTTCCCCCTCCCCGTGTCCTCAAGTCCATTCTCTACGTCTGCGTCTTTATTCCTGTCCTGCCCCTAGATTCTTCGGAACTATTTTTTTTTGATTCCATATATATGTGTTAGCATACGGTATTTGTTTTTCTCTTTCTGACATACTTCACTCTGTATGACAGACTCTAGGTCCATCCATCTCACTAGAGACAACTCAATTTTGTTTCTTTTTATGGCTGAGTAATCCATTGTATATATGTGCCACATCTTCTTTATCCATTCATCTGTTGATGAACACTTTGATTGCTTCCATGTCCTGGCTATTGTAAATAGTGCTGCAATGAACATTGTGGTACATGACTCTTTTTGAGTTATGGTTTTCTCAGGGTATATGCCCAGTAGTGGGATTGCTGGGTCATATGGTATTTCTATTTTTAGTTTTTTAAGGAACCTCCATACTGTTCTCCATAATGGCTGTATCAATTTACATTCCCACCAACAGTGCAAGAGGGTACCCTTTTCTCCACACCCTCTCCAGCATTTGTTTGTAGATTTTTTGATGGTAGCCATTCTGAGTGGTGTGAGGTGATACCTCATTGTAGTTTTGATTTGCAATTCTCTAATGATTAGTGATGTTGAGCATTCTTTCATGTGTTTGTTGGCAATCTGTATATCTTCTTTGGAGAAATGTCTATGTAGGTCTTTGCCCATTTTGGGATTGGGTTGTTTGTTTTTTTAATATTGAGCTGCATGAGCTGCTTGTAAATTTTGGAGTTTAATCCTTTGTCAGTTGCTTCATTTGCAAATATTTTCTTCCATTCTGAGGGTTGTCTTTTGGTCTTGTTTATGGTTTCCTTTGCTGTGCAAAAGCTTTTAAGTTTCATTAAGTCCCATTTGTTTAATTTTATTTTTATTTCCACTTCTCTAGGAGGTGGGTCAAAAAGGATCTTGCTGTGATTTATGTCATAGAGTGTTCTGCCTATGTTTTCCTCTAAGAGTTTGATAGTGTCTGGCCTTACATTTAGGTCTTTAATCCATTTTGAGTTTATTTTTGTGTATGATGTTAGGGAGTATTCTAATTTCATTCTTTTCCATGTAGCTGTCCAGTTTTCCCAGCACCAATTATTGAAGAGGCTGTCTTTTCGCCATTGTATATTCTTGTGGTGTCTGCCCATGGACCCTCACTGTTTACAAGATGTGTGATTTCCTGCCATCAGGCCCCTGCCTCCATTTCTCTGCTCATATCTAGCTACTGCCTGCTGTAACATTCCCCTCTCAAGGAGTCTGGGACCCTTAAAATCTTTTAAGAGGCAGAGGGACCAACGGTCCATCTTATGTAACTGCTTCAAGCTGAGCATGGGTGTTGTCCCTACCTGTGGGTCCAGATCTCCTTACTATCTGTCAGAGATAGGGGTCTTGGGATTGTTGACAGAGGTGGAGAGTGGGGAGTAGAAGGAGGCAACAACTTTGTCCAGCAGGTGTTGATGGTCCCCTTTGTCAGGTGGGATGGGTTGGAATCCCTGGCGTAGCATCATTTGAAGCTGGAGTTGTTGCATTCTTGGGTCTGTGATGTTTCTTTGTCCTTTTTGAATAAAAGCTTCAGGTCCTGTAGAGGCTTGATCATCCATCTGGATTTGTTGCAGGAATGGGGACCCCTTCCAGGGCCTGAGAGTGGGCTCGTCTAACACTCGGAAGTGAATTGTCCAAGGAGACACTGTGCTGACAAAGCAGGAGACTTTATTGGGAAGGGGCACTTGGGTGGAGACCAGGAAGGTAAGGGAACCCAGGAGGACTGCTCTTCCACGTGGCTCACAGTCTCAGGTTTTATGATGGTGGGGTTAGTTTTCAGGTTGTCTCTGGCCAGTCATTCTGACTCAGGGTCCTTCCTGGTGGCGCACACATCAGTCAGCAAAGCTGAATTCCAGCGAGGAGGATTCTGGGAGGTTGGTAGGACATATGGACTGGTGTCTCCTTTTGACGTTTCCCGAATTTTTCCTGTTGGTGGTGGCTTGTTAGTTCCATGTTCCTTACCAGGACCTCCTGTCATAAAATAACTCATGCAAATGGTTGTTGTAGTGCTGGCCAGGGTGGGCGGTTTCAGTCAGTGTTTCCTCTAACAACTCCCACCTGAGACTTCATACTCAAGATACTTCTTGGGAATCGGGGCGGAGGTCTGTTTCTTTTGTAACTACTTCCTGCTGAGAGTGGGCATAGTCCTGCCTAGTAGAGTAGAAGTCTCTCTCCACCTGATCTAAATCGAGGTATTCTGTGCCTGAAACCAGCATTCACCCTTGTAGTAACAATTTAGCTTGAAACTGTTGGACCCTGTTGGAGATGAACCTTGTAAGCAGTTGAAACAGACAGGGGCCAAACAAGAGGCCTAACAGGATGGTCATCACCAGGCCCAGAAAAGGAAGGCAAAATTTGGGATGTGGACTGCAGGGTGTGTGACTTTCTTCTGATTGGTTTGTGGCATGGTAACTGGGTGGTGCTCCAGGAATCTTGTGCTCAGCCTGAAGTTACCATCCTCCACCTGAGTGGCGGCCCCAGTTCTGCAGAAGGACTCAAAGATATTGTTAAGCATATTCCTTGAGGAGGAACCAGGACCCTGCCCCAAGGCTGCACCACCATTTGACTGCTCCTCCCGTTTCTGCATCCCTTCCCTTCCCTGATTAGAAACTGTTTGAAT